GATCCACCCGCCTCAGCCTCCCAGAGTGCTAGGATTACAGGCGTGAGCCACCGCGCCCGGCCCCTAGATTTTAATTTTTAACCTATTATGGGTTACTAAGTGTAATACACAGAATTGTAGATTACCGAAATTTTGCTCTGAGAAACTAAAATGAGAAAATTAGCATTTACTGAGGATTCTTAGTAAGAAAAGTCTGGCTGCCACATATGGTAGTATACCAAAGTTCCCACTGTGCATTTCTGAGTGATAATAGCTGAAATCCAAAAATTCCATAGTTTAATTTTCATTTAAGTTGACCTTTGAAAAACACAGGTTTGAATTGTGTGGCTCCACTTATATGTAGTTTTTTTCAATATATTGGAAATCTTTTTGGAGATTTGTAGCAATTTAAAAAAGCTCGCAGATGAACCGTGTAGCCTAGAAATATCAAAAAAAATTTTTTTAAAGTTAGGTACATCATGAATGCATAAAATATGGGTAGATACTAGTCTATCTGTGTATTAATCAACTGTTTCTATTATTGTTAAGGCTTCCAGTCAACAGTAGGCTATTAGGAAAGTTTTTTGGAAGTCAAAAGTTATATGAAGATTTGGCCAGGCACAGTGACTCACACCTGTGATCCAGTACTTTGGGAGGCCAAAGGGGGAGGAACACTTCATGCCAGGAGTTTAAGACTAGCCTGGGCAATGTAGTGAGACCCCATCTCTACAAATAAAAAAAATTTTTAAGAAGTTACATGCAGATTTTTGACTTGGGGGTCGGGGCAGTACCCCTAACCCCAGCATTGTTCCCAGGCCATCTGTAGTCAATCACTAACCAACATTAACTCAACACATATTTATTTTTGTGCAAGGATCAATGTTTCAAACACAAATCAGGCTGGGCATGTTTACATGTCTCTAAAGTCTATAGTACACTACTAGGCAGTGGTAGTATGAGGACTTATTTGGGTATCTAAGATTGTCCATTCAGATATACAGAGTATCTGAAAAGTCAGGAGCCACAAGACAAACTTGTATTTTAAATAGAATGTTGGCTACATTTTTAAATGATAGGTACAAAGTATTTTCCTTCAACCTCATTTTCAGTGAAATAGTTCTAAGTTTAAAGAGGTTTATTTGTTAACCTAAAAAATGTACAGTAAAGGCCGGGCGCGGTGGCTCACGCCTGTAATCCTAGCACTCTGGAAGGCAGAGGCGGGAGGATTATTCGAGCTCAGGAGTTCGAGACCAGCCTGAGCAAGAGCAAAACCCCGTCTCTACTATAAACAGAAAGAAATTAGCCGAAACAACTAAAAAGAGAAAAATTAGCTGGGCACAGTGGCACATGCCTGCAGTCCCAGCTACCTGGGAGGCTGAGGCAGGAGGATCGCTTGAGCCCAGGAGTTTGAGGTTGCTGTGAGCTAGG